TGTCATCAAAGGTGGGCCCGCCATAGCCTTGCACATTGCATCCCCAATTAAAAAAAACATTTAGCAGTAGAATGTACAAAGGCAGAATATGATATTCGTGATGTTCCATTGTTTGCCTTTGATGGCAGATAACAGGAGATAGTGCTGCCTCTTTGATTATCCCCCATCATTGAAACACAGCTTTATTATTCTCTTATTCTGCACCGTGGTGGCACAGTGGTTGGAATGCAGTACTGCAGGCTACTGATTGCCGGCTGCCAGCAGTTTGGCAGTTCGAACCTCACTGGCTCAAGGTTGACTCAGCCTTCCATCCTTCTGAGGTGGGTAAAATGAGAACCCAGATTGTTGCGGGCAATAGGCTGACTCTGCAAAACCACAGAAAAAAAGTAAAAGAACTGTGAAGCAGTATATAAGCAGGGGGAATATTCAACCAGTTTGGACAAACCGGTGGTTAATTTTACATCTGGTTCACCGAACTGGTAATTGCAAGGACTGGCTGGCCCCACCCACCCCTCCCCTCCCAGGAGTCTCCACGCGGCCCATTCATCATGCCACGTAAGTGCAGGGCTTGCACGGAGGATCTGAGAGAGTGAAAAACGGGTGTCCCAGAAGTCTGGAAATGGACCTGTTTCCAGCCTCCGGAGGGTCTCCAGAGCCCAGGGGAGACTGTTTTTGTCCTCCTGAAGGCTCGAGAAAAGCCTCCAGAGCCTGGGGAGGGTGAAAAGCCCCCCAAGCTGTGGTGCATGTGACCGAGTAGGCCACACCCACCATGGCCACGCCCACCCAGCAACCAGGCAGCGAACCGGTTGCTAACATTTTTCAATCCCACTCCTATATAAGTGCTATTTCTATTTGCTCTGGCTGGACCCTCATTTATGCCTATGTGTTGCTAACCCTCTATCCCTGGAACATTCTCCCAAAGAAAATACTGCAGAGAGTTTGAGATGACAACTATTGGCCTATGTGGCTTTTTAAATTCGAAAACCTGGACAGTTTGGTGAAGCTAAAGTGTCTTTTGGGTAGCTGTTAGTCATAATTACCAAAAATAAGAGTCTTAGGGCAGAAATAAAGAAGCAGTTGCCTGCCTCAATCCCTTGCAAGAAGCTATGCTCCTTGTAAATGATGGGATTGAAAATAGAAAGAGCTGGAAGGCTGTCCTAGAGCATAGCCTCCCCCTGCCCATCTGTTATTTTTCTTTCCTAATATTCTCTCTCACATTTTACCAGTAAAAGTTTTTTTCTCTGTGCATCTTGATCACGTTGATCACGTTGGTGACACTGGAATAATCTTTAAGATCACTGTAATGTCAGAAGAATCCAACTCCTCAAGTTTATTTTTACTTAGCAGGCATTGCCATTTTAATCCCCATTTACACAAAGGGCTGGCAGGAATTAGGGTTGTCAAGTGATTATAAAGCTGCAGCAATTCAAAAGAAGAAGAAGAAAAAGAAAAGCGTTCAAGCAGCCATCTTGAACAGACCTGGGAAGAAGATACCATCATTAAATGAACCCCATCAACCGGATACTGTTCTAATGCTTTTGCTTTGCTAATTAGTTTGATTGTTCTAAAATTTCTGGGAACTATCACATTTATGTTTTCTTTTGAGATCTGGAAAGAAAATGGGAAAACTTGCTCAGTTAGGTGATGACTTTTACACTTTAAAATGACATTGCAAAGGTGGAATAACAAGCTGCTTATACAATAATACAATACAATAGCAGAGATGGAAGGAACCTTGGAGGTCTTTTATTCCAACCCCCTGCCTAGGCAGGAAACCTTAAACCTTTCCAGACAAATGGCTATCCAGCATCTTCTTAAAGACTTCCAGTGTGGGGGCATTCACAACTTCTGGAGGCAAGCTGTTCCCCTGATTAATTGTTCTAACTGTCAGGAAATTTCTCCTC